GCTGCAGAGGCCAGAGGTTAGGGCGAAAGGATTAAAGAAAGGGAAGAAAATTGGAATGAGAACGAGCTTACCTCTGCAGCAAAAGCTACAGTCTTCCTTACCGCCTCAACCGGGTCCTCGGGCACCCGAACAGCTCGTTCAACTCGGCGAGAGCTGGAGGACCTCACCTTCGTCGCGACCTCATGGATGCTGAGGCGAGAAAAGGCGAGCTTGAAGGGGAGCGGGACGTCGGCGCTACTCGTGTGACGACGAACTTGGGGAGGCGCCGATGGAGTGGCCAAAGCCGAGGCCCGCTGCCGCTTTGTGCTACTGAGCGCGAGGAACTTGGAGGCCATTCCTGCAAAAGGGATGAGGTTAGACAAGAGGTTGCAACCAATCGAGCTTAGGAATCAAGGAGTAGTTACCTTCAAGAGCTTTACGTTTCTGCGAGCTGCGTTGCCGAGGTTTGGGAAGTTTTTTGAGCTTGCTGGATGGTCGTGAAGACTGAGACTGCAAGAGAAGAGGTGGGAGTTGGAAACTAGCGCTTCACCCCACAGCACGTACTTCAATCTCTGACCTTGGGCTCGCCTGATGATCTCCCAAGACTTGTTGCTGATCCTCGGAACGGGGGACGGCAGAGCTGCAAAACAGAACCACATCAGAAACGAAGGCGTGAAAGTTAAGACAAAAAAAAACCGACCCCAGCTCGCACCTAACACTCACCTACGTCTCCGAACTCGATTGGGACTTGGCAGGTCGGCTCACCCCCTCCGTCCCTCATAAGCCACTCGCCAGAGACAAGGAACCAACACTCCTTCCAGTTCTTGTTGGATGAGGGGTTCCTAATCAGCTAACCTACGTTCTGCCGAGCTGAGAGGTAATACCGACCCTCTCCCTCGTTGGAGGCTTTGACGGTGTGGGTCGCTAAGAGCTGGTCCACCGTGAGCCTGTCCTCATCCTCGTTTCGGAGGACCCACCACAGGACGTAGGCCCCAAGCACGGTAGACCATCCGTTAGGGGAGAGCTGAGCTGGGGCGAGGTTGACTGCGCTAAGGAACCTTTGTATGAAAGGGTGGAGTGGAAGTCTGACCCCCCTGTGGAACATCTAGGGGTAGAAACTGACAAAGCCCGGAGGAGGGTCGTCGAGGTGTTTCCCGATGTAAGGCACCCTAAGCTCAACGGAGTTGGGGATCGAGTAAGTTTTGCAGAGCTCGGCCAGCTTACCTACCGAGCAAGATGAGGGAGGAAGCTCAACTATAGGACCAAGGTCAGGGTTTCCCAAGGTCGACGCTATATTGGGGTTTGTCGAGCTATCCTCGACGTAAGGGTTCCCTAAGGTAGAAGCCAAGGTCGGATCTCCTAAAACGTCGTCTGAACTAGAGGAACTAGGCGACCCAGACGACGAATCCCTAGACGAGCTACTCATCGCTAGACCTGACTAGGAAGACTTAAAAGAACTATCTAAAGAAAGAGGGAGAGACTACCTGACTTGGAAACGGCCGAGGTACATGAAAACTCAAGAGTAAAAAGTGAAAAGTGAAAAACTTTCGCCTTTTATAGGACAGCACGGAGGTATGAGGGCCGTTCGATCAGGGAGGGATCAACGGATAGGATCCGCCCACGCCAAGCTGTCCCCACGACGACGTTTGGGTTCCCGAAGCAGAAGCTAGGGCTGACGACATCCATGACGTCACACATGAACGCGTGGATTCGACCCGTCTCCAGTTAGCTCAGAGGACTTCGCCGAGCCGACCTCCGCCCCGCTGAAGTGGGGGCCAATGTTGGAGGAGAATCCTAGCCTGCCACGTGTCATGATCGAAAAGGTGAGTTGGTTAAACACGCGAGCGAAATGGAGAAAGCAGCTCCAAAATACTTAGGTCGGCAGTTAGGGCAGGACCTATAGTGCCGAGCTGAGCTGATACAAAGTCCGTAACAGTGTCCCTTCCGTACCCGACAACACGCCGCGATTTTAGGGTGTGTCAGAACCGCTGTCGGGCCCAGTTTCTATAAATAGAAACCTTTGCCTTAAATGCAAGGTACACAATCTTAAGTAGACTCGGGAAGTTAGCTCGGACTAGAACTAACTTGCTCGTCGGAGTGCTAACTTTGTTTTGCAGGTCTCAAGAACTGTTCAAGGGAGGTGCGGAACCATTGGCTATAGCTCGTCCTGAGCACATCGATCTAAATCATGTCCGAGCTCAATCAATTTCGAGCTCAAACAAAAGCAAAGAAGATTCAAGAGGTTTTCATAATACATCTTCAAAGGCTAGCTAATGCACACAAGGAGACAAAGATTTCTGAGGCCAAAATTCTTTACAATGTTAATTTAATGAGTCAAGAAGAGAATGAAGCAAAGATGGCACGGGAAAAGTTGTCTATTTTGAGAGATGGCACGGAGGACAAAAAAAGTGTGCAGATTGGTGAACAGGTGCCTTTGCAGATTGCACCTCTTGGGAGTTTGTGATGTCAAAGCTTTTCAAATCTCATCCAACGTAAAGCGCCTCCTACATGTGATTTCCAAGACAATTTAAAGCAATTCTACGTTTTTGGATTCACATTTAGTTGTCTAGTTTSATGTGCAATCATGTTTTAATTTGCATGTCTTGTTTTCTACAATTTGCATTAAATAGGATTTGAAAGACTTTTCGTGTTCCTCATGTTAAACGACCCAGCCTATTTAAAGGCTTGTAATCACCTTGTTTTGGCAGATTAAACATATTGAAATTCAAAAACTTTTGTTCCTTGACACATTTTGTGTTGCTTCTTTCAAATCTTGTTTTAGGTTTGATGTTAAACCGATTCATTGGATTAGTCTCGATCAAGCTAATTCTGGAGTGAGTCGTCTTAGGATCTAGGAGTGACCATCGTAGATTCTAAGTCCGATCTAAGAGTGATTCATCTTCTAACTTTACTCTTGGTTGGCATCATTCGGTAAGTTAGTCGTTTTTGTGAATGTTTGCAAGAATCCTAGAAGTACCTCTAGCTTTGTAAACCCGAGCAACCTGGGCGCTTATCAGAAACTTCATTGCCCTAAAGCTTTTTATTTAGGACTCATTAAAACTCAAGAAACCCAAAGATGTCTATCTTTTAGTGCCAATCATGAAGTCAAACTTCATTGCCCCAAAACTTTTGGTTTAGTACTCATTAAAACTCGAGGAACCCAAAGATGTCTCACTTTTGATTCCAATCATGGTGTCAAACTTCAGAGCCCCAAAGCTATTGGTTTAGGACTCATTAAAACTCGAGCAACCGAAAGATGTTTCACATTGAGTTCCAATCATGGCGTCAAACTTCATTGCCGTAAAACTTTTGGTTTAGGACTCGTTAAAAGTCGATGAACCCAAAGATGTCTCACTTTTGAGTCCAATCATGGCGTCAAACTTCAGTGCCCCAAAACTTTTAGTTTAGGACTCATTAAAACTCGAGCAACCCAAAGATGTTTCACTTTCGGTTTCAATCATGGCGACAAACTTCAATGCCCCAAAACTTTTGATTTATGACTCATTAAAGCTCGTGTACCTAGGTTGCAATGACCAGTTCAAGGTCAAGGGTGTGGTTTTTATGTTGAGAGGTGGGGCCTTGAATTGGTGGGATTCAGTAGTAGCGGTAGAAGACCATGCTAATATGCTGATTACTTGGGCGAGGTTCAAGGACTTGTTGTATGATTACTACTTTCCGAAGACCATGAAGGACGTAAAGGAGGTGGAGTTCCTCCTTCTCACCCAAGGCTCTATGACGGTAGTGGAATATGAAAAGAAGTTCACGGAACTCTCTCGTTTTGCACCGAACATAATTCACACTGAGGCCTTAAAAATCAAAAGGTTTGTTAAGGGGTTGTGCAAGGGAATCAAAGGACCAGTTGACCTTCAGCGTCCAGCCACGTACGCGGAGGCAGTTAAGGGCGACTTGATTATGGATAAGGATGTCTTTACTAAGGCCCAACTTTCACAGGAGGTGCGTGAAAAGAAAGGCCCCTCTTTATTTTACTGGCCCGCCGTCGAGAGTACCCCAATGGCAGACTCATCAGCAGAGCATGCTACCAGTGTGCTCATCTTGCAAGAGAAGACATGTTGGGCCTTGTTGGACTAGGACAAAGGTATGTTACAGCTGTGGGAAAGAAGGGCACTTTGCAAGAGAATGTCCTATGACGGGCTCGAACATGCAGAGGCTAGGTCAGAGAGGCCCTTCAGCAGTTACAAGAGAGTAACCAAAAAGCTCGTGTTTTTGCACTTACCCGTGAGGAAGTGGCAAATGTCGAAGCTGTTGTAACAGGTATTCCTATCTATCTCTGAGTTATTGGGTTATGTTTGCAGGTTATGTCCTTACTCTTACCTTATCTTTCAAGTATTGTCTTAGTACATAATGTGCCTGCTTATGCATTGTTTGATTCGGGGTCAAGTCACACTTTTATTTCCACTGCGTTTGTTCATCAAGCAAATCTGGTACTAGAACCATTAGGTTTTCTGTTGTCAGTATCTACTCCATCGGGTTCAGATATGAGTACCAGTCAAATGGTGAGGGAGGGCAAGTTATCCCTCCACGATCATACCCTAGGGGCAAGGTTGATCCAACTGGACATGCAGGATTTTGACATCATTTTAGGCATGGATTGGCTAGCTACCAATCAAGCCAGCATTAATTGGTTAAGGAGGGAAGTCTCCTTCCAACTGCCTTCTGGCCAGAGATTTACGTTTAAGGGAGTTACTGGGGAAGTTCCGAAGGTAGTTTCTGCACTTAAAGCCAGGCAACTCTTGCAGCATGGTGCTTGGGGCTACTTGGTAAGTGTCGTAGACACTAGTAAGGGTACACCCAGCGTTGACTCCGTTCTTGTGGCCAATGAATTCCCCGACGTGTTTCCTGAAGACCTTCCAGGACTGCCCCCAGTTCGTGAGTTGGACTTTTACATTGATTTGGCACCTGGTACGACCCCTATCTCGAGGGCACCTTACCGTATGGCCCCAGCGGAACTTAAGGAGCTCAAGGTACAACTGGAAGAGTTATTAGACAAGGGCTTCATTTGCCCAAGTGTGTCTCCTTGGGGTGCCCTAGTGCTTTTTGTGAAAAAGAAGGATGGATCTATGCGAATTTGTGTCGACTATCAGGAATTGAATAAGGTGACCATAAAGAATAGGTACCCCCTCCCTCGCATTGATGACCTCTTTGATCAACTCAAAGGAGCAAGGGTGTTCTCGAAGATAGACCTAAGACCGGGGTACCATCAGTTGAGGATCAAGGAAGCTGACATATCGAAGATAGCCTTTAGGACCCGGTATGGGCACTACGAGTTTACGGTGATGTCCTTTGGGCTCACTAATGCCCCTGCGGCATTCATGGATCTCATGAATCGGGTTTTTAATGACTTCTTGGACTTGTTTGTGATCGTGTTCATTGATGACATCTTGATTTACTCCAAGACAGCTGAGCAGCACGAGGGGCATCTAAGGCAAGTTTTGACCGCTTTGAGAGGGAACAAACTGTTTGCAAAGTTCTCGAAATGCGAGTTTTGGTTAGATAAGATGGCTTTCCTTGGCCACATAGTCACTAGAGAGGGTATTGTTGTGGATCCAGCGAAGGTAGAGGCAGTAACCCAAAGATGTGTCACTTTTGGTTCCAATCATGGCGTGAAACTTCATTGCCCGAAAACTTTTGGTTTAGCACTCATTAAAACTCGAGGAACCTAAAGATGTTGTAACGTCCCGCGTTCTCAGGTTAGTTTTATTTTAAGATTTAAAATCAAGCCTTTGGATTTTTCTCTAAAAGGTTAATTTAAATTCTTGGATTTCCTAATTTTGAATTTTGGGTAAATTAAAATTTAAGTTTATTTCCATTAGTTAAGTTAAATTAAGTTTTCAAATTTTGAAGAGAGTTTTTTTAATTATATCTTAATTCAAAGTTTCGGAAATCTAATTTTTCCTTTTTGGATTTTATTCTTAGGTTTTAAAATCGAGTTAATCTCTTAAATAAATTTTCCAAATCCATTTTATAGTGGGTTTCTTTTTTTAAAAGATTAGGGAAAGTTCTCCTTATTTATATAGCCGTAAATATTATTTTGTTATATTATTTTTGTTTGGAAAAGAAAAGAAAAAAAAGATTTTAAAAAGAAAACAAGTAAAAACAAAAAAAAAACCCTAGCCCCTTCTCCTTCACTCTCCCTCTCGTGTAACCCACCCCCCCCC